ACATGTACGAGGATTAGGACAGATTCTACAACATGTACCCGGATTATGACAGATTCTACAACATGTACCAGGATAAGGACAGATTCTACAACATGTACAAGGATTAGGACAGATTATATATATATACATGTACTGTAGTAAGAACAGATTCTACAGCACGTATCAGGATTAGGACAGATTCTACAACATGCATGAGGATTAGGACAGATTCTACAACATGTACAAGGATTAGGACAGATTCTACAACATGTACCCGGATTATGACAGATTCTACAACATGTACCAGGATAAGGACAGATTCTACAACATGTACAAGGATTAGGACAGATTCTACAACATGCATGAGGATTAGGACAGATTCTACAACATGTATCAGGATTAGGACAGATTCTACAACATGCATAAGGATTAGGACAGATTCTACAACATGTAGAAGGATTAGGACAGATTCTACAACATGTACAAGGATTATGACAGATTATATATATGTACATGTACTGTAGTAAGAACAGATTCTACAACATGTACCATGATTAGGACAGATTCTACAACATGCACAAGGATTAGGACAGATTCTACACCATGTACCAGGATTAGGACAGATTCTACAGCATGTACCAGGATTAGGACAGATTCTACAACATGCATAAGGATTAGGACAGATTCTACAACATGCATAAGGATTAGGACAGATTCTACAACATGTATCAGGATTAGGACAGATTCTACAACATGTACAAGGATTAGGACAGATTATATATATGCACATGTACTGTAGTAAGAACAGATTCTACAACATGTACCATGATTAGGACAGATTCTACAACATGCACAAGGATTAGGACAGATTCTACACCATGTACCAGGATTAGGACAGATTCTACAGCATGTACCAGGATTAGGACAGATTCTACAGCATGTACCAGGATTAGGACAGATTCTACAACATGCATGAGGATTAGGACAGATTCTACAACATGCATGAGGATTAGGACAGATTCTACAACATGCACGAGGATTATGACAGATTCTACAACATGTACCAGGATAAGGACAGATTCTACAACATGTACCAGGATAAGGACAGATTCTACAACATGCACGAGGATTAGGACAGACTCTACAACATGTACCAGGATTAGGACAGATTGTACAACATGTACCAGGATTAGGACAGATTCTGCAACATGTACCAGGATTAGGACAGATTCTGCAACATGTACCAGGATTAGGACAGATTCTGCAACATGTACCAGGATTAGGACAGATTCTACAGCATGTACCAGGATTAGGACAGATTCTACTACAAGGATTAGGACAGATTATATATATGCACATGTACTGTAGTAAGAACAGATTCTACAACATGTACCATGATTAGGACAGATTCTACAACATGCACAAGGATTAGGACAGATTCTACTACATACAATATATATATATATATATTTTATAAATCAGAAAAATTATCCTTAGGGATGAATAAATATTATATAAAGAAAAATTCTTAACAACGAGTCTTAAGTACTTTCATCTCTTCTAGGAGATTGTTCAGACTGTTTATTTGAAGTATTGACGTCATAAACTATGACGTCACATAATAGTTTGCTATAACGACGTCCGCCATATATATATATACATGTACTGTAGTAAGAACAGATTCTACAACATGTACCATGATTAGGACAGATTCTACAACATGCACGAGGATTAGGACATGACATGTTTAAGTTGTAGGAAACTGAACATATACGGACGTGAACTTTACTCTGTAGGGTGAAAACCGTTATTTAGTCAGACATGGCCCTGAATTAATCTCTTTAAAAAAAAAATAGGAATATAAAATTTACATGTAGATGACTGTAATCGTGAGAATATAATATTTATAGAAATAAACACTGATAACAGGAAGAAGCTACGGCTTTATCTATATGAACATGTTTACGTTGAACAGCAACAGCCAGGTTACATAAGGCCTTGCAGTATTACATTCTGACATGCCTGCCAGTAGAAATGAAACATCTGTATATCACCTGATTGCCCACCCTAGGTCTTGTTTTGAAAGCCCCAGTATCATACTGTTTATCATATACATTTACCAGAACTTTGTAATCCGGCCAAATTAATTATCCATCAATTTGATATCTATCAATTTCGCCTCGTTACCATGGTAACAGAATGTATAAAACATGAGTCACTAGTGGACGATTGTCGTCACAGTAACTGATCATGTGTTGTACCTGCTAACATGAACGAGTTGTAAAAAAAGCTACGTACCATAATTTGTAAGTGGATTCATGATCAATACATTTACCAAACTGGAAATAATTATGATATTAATAAAAATATGGATTTATGAATCCAATCTATCCTAAAACGTATAAACATCTTATTATATACATTGAAGGTAGTAATACATGTTATATTTAGCTCACCTTGAGCTTATGGCATGGTCTGGCGTCTGTCAGGCATCAACATTTTACTATAAGCTTCTCTTTTCAACGACTAAGAGGCCTAGGGTAATGGTATTTGGCCAGTAGCATGCTGGGACGAAGGACTACCAAGTTTGTTCAAGTGAATGACCTTTGCCCATTTTCAAGGTCACAGTGGTCAAAAATGTTAAACACTTTATACAACTTCTTCTGAATAACCAAAAGGCCCAGGATGATAATATTTGGCCAATCACATACTGGTATGAAGCGCTACCAAGTTTGTTCAAATGAATGACCTTGACTTATATTCAAGGTCGCAGGGGTCAATTATCTAAAAAAAACTTTCAAACAACTTCTTCTGAATAAACAAAAAGCCCAGGGTGATAATATTTGGCCAGTAGCATGTCCGGATAAAGGGCTACCCAGTTTGTTCAAATCAATGACCTTAAATTATATTCAAGGTCACATGGGTCAAATATGTTAAAATCTTTAAAACAAATTCGTCTGAAAAATCAGAAGGCACAGGGTGTTAATATTTGGCAAGTAGCATGTGGGGATGAATGGCTACCAAGTTTGTTCAAATGATTGACCTTTGCCCATAATCAAGGTCACAGGAGTCAATTGTCTTAAAAATATTTTAAAGACTTTTTCTAAATAACCGAAAGGCCCAGGGTGATGATATTTGACTAGTAGCCTGCTGGGATGAAGGGCTACCAAGTTGTTCAAATGATTGACCTTTGCCCATTTTCAAGGTCACAGGGGTCAAATATGTTAAAATCTTTAAACAACTCCTTCCTAATAACCACAAGGCCCAGGTAATGATGATATTTGGCCAATCACAAACTAGCATGAAGGGCTACCAAGTTTGTTCAAATGAATTACCTTGACTTATATACAAGGTCACAGAGGACAATATCTTAAAAATCTTTCAAACCACTTCTGATTAGCCAAAAGGCCCAGGGTGATGATATTTGGTAAGTAACATGCTGGCTAGGCTACCAAGTTTGTTCAAATGAATGAACTTTGCTCATATTTAAGGTCACAGGTGTCAAATATGTTGAAATCTTTAAACGTCTTCTTCTGAATAAAAAAACCTTCCAGGGTGATAGTTTGTTCATGTAAATGACATTGACACACTTTCACGATCACATCTTGTCCATTGTGCATACATATTTAAAAGTCATCTTCTCAATAAACAAAAGGTATATAGGGTGATGATATTTGGCAATTTGCATTCTGGGATGAAGGGCTATACAGTTTGTTCAACTTAATGTCCATGTTTGACTTTCAAAATTACAGGGGTCATATAAGTACAAATTGTTTAACAGAATTTTTTAATGACTTTTAGTCAAGACACTGATATTTTGCATGTAGCTTTATTTTAGTTTACTTTTAAGGTAACAATTGTGAGATTATTACCAGGTGAACGATGCAGGCCCATTGGGCCTCTTGTCATGATCACACTGTCTTACAAATGGAAGGTTGCTTTGAAGATTGCATAAATTATTTTTGCTGCGCTATAAACCGTTGTACATACTGTGAAACGAGTGCCAGCCACAGATGATGAGTGGGATCATCCCCGATGTCCTTATTTGTGTACATGTATCAGTGTTTCTTCATACAACACAACTCCTTTTGACTAATTTCCCATCATGGTCAAGATATGAAGGTATCTTTACACGGGCAAAATTTCTTAATGTAAAAACCTTAGAAGTACCAAAAAAAATGTCATATTCTGGTGAAAGATCGACTTGAAAATCACACAATTTGTTCAGGTTCATTAGACCTGAAATTGAAATGAAATTGACCTGAACATTTTTCTTGTGATTTTTTCCTGAATTGGTGAATTTCAGGTCAGGTTTTTTTTCATGGAGAAATTTTGGCTGTTTAGTTGTATTCCCCATGAATAAAGCAGTATCATTCTGCAATTTTGGTGGCAGAAGTTCTCTTTCAAAATTAGCCAGACAACTTTTGGAAAATAATATCTTTTGGAATTAAGAAAAAAGAAAAACAAATCGATAGCATATACATTCTATAATATTAAAATTCATGTGAGCACCAGCTATACCCTGCTTGTTATCAAACTATATTAATATAATTGCAAAATCAGTGTTTTCTATTTTTTGGGAGCTGGAACCAGTGGATTATATAAACGTGGTGTTAGAGCTGCTGAGATGTATTGTCTTAGTATTGCAAAATTTGGTGTCGATCTGGAGTTTGAGTAAACAAGTCTTCCTTCACAATTTATGTTTCTATCAGGTATTTTATGTATGTGTGTTATATGAGTAAGAACATTATTTTGAATTTGTTAATCCACTGAATGTTTTAGATAATTGCTTCATGTTGGGATTGTAGTCCATATTCATATTACTTTAATGATAGTGAGCATGAAAAAACTAAAATCTGCTCACCATTTCAAGACAGCTGAAGGCCTACAATGCATATGCAGATCAAGAGATTACTACACACATGTATGATGTAAATGTTATAGAGAGGTACATAATTAATTGTATAATCATCATATGGTACTTAGATGCTAATAATGTATATACCTTTTGTGTTTTTCAGAATGCACAGACCTTCAGTTTTCCTGAGTTGACCTTGGAGGTCAAACAGGTAAAATATATCTAATTATTTTGTAATACCAATGTACTTAAAAAGAGTTTCCATTGGTTGGTGAGGAACACTCTGTAGTAGCATACTTTACATATTGTTGTAAAAGTCTATACAAGATCTGGGAGGTACGTGTATACAATACACTAAAATAACCATTTATTCACTGGTAGTGATTAGTTGTCATGGCAACAACAAGATGTTATCCAAGATCTGGACGATTGATCCCAATGAAAACATAGAATTATATTTTCCATCTCTTGGCATTGACATTATAAAACCCTACCAAATTTAGTTGGCATTCATATAGGCTAATGTAATTGAATTTTCTATTAGGTGAACAGGATTCCAAAAAATGGTAAATATAGGTATTGAACTGCTTTCAGTTGGCATTCATAGGCAATATGAATTCCAACTGAACTTCTATGCATGCCAACTGAAAGTAGTTCAATGCTAAATGACCATTATCTATGCAATATAACACTGTTAGAATTGAGATGATGAAATTCTGAAACCCACAAGGTCAGTTTAGTGTTGTGGCTGCCTAGCTTCCCTTTCATCACCAGCTTAAAGCTTGAGATTGTGTTGGTTGTGGGAATATATAGCAGCACGTAACTAAAGTGTTTAGTCCACTGTTAGTATGTTGTGTGTGTTGGGGTGGCCGTGGGGTAGTGGGTTTGGTGGGAGATGGCAGGATGTGGTGTGTGTTGGGGGGGTAGTGGGTATGGTGGGAGATGGAAGTATGAGGAGTGTGTTGGGGTGGCCGTGGGATAGTGGGTTTGGTGGGGGATGGCAGTATGTGGTGTGTGTAGGGGTGGCCGTGGGGTAGTGGGGTTGGTGGGAGATGACAGTATGTGGTGGGTGTTGGGGTGGCCGTGGGTTTGGTGGGAGATGGAAGTATGTGGCGTGTGTTGGGGTGGCCGTGGGTAGTGGGGTTGGTGGGGGATGGCAGTATGTGGTGTGTGGTGGGGTGGTCGTGGGTATGGTGGGAGATGGTAGTATGTGGTGTGTGTTGGGGAGGCCGTGGGGTAGTGGGTTTGGTTGAAGATGGCAGTATGTGGTGTGTGTAGGGGTGGCCGTGGGGTAGTGGTTTTGGTGGGAGATGACAGTATGTGGTGGGTGTTGGGGTGGCCGTGGGGGAGGGGGGTTGGTGGGAGATGGCAGTATGGGGGGTGTGTTGGGGTGGCCGTGGGTCGTGGGTGTGGTGGGAGATGACAGTATGTGTTGTGTGTTGGGGTGGCCGTGGGATAGTGGGGTTGGTGGGAGATGACAATATGTGGTGTGTGTTGGGGTGGTAGTGGGTATGGTGGGAGATGGAAGTATGAGGAGTGTGTTGGGGTGGCCGTGGGGTGGTGGGTTTGGTGGGAGATGACGGTATGTGGTGTGTGTTGGGGTGGTCGTGGGTATGGTGGGAGATGGAAGTATGTGGCGTGTGTTGGGGTGGCCGTGGGGTAGGGGGTTTGGTGGGGGATGGCAGTATGTGGTGTGTGTTGGGGTGGCCGTGGGTATGGTGGGAGATGGAAGTATGTGGTGTGTGTTGGGGTGGCCGTGGGGTAGTGGGTTTGGTGGGAGATGGCAGTATGTGGGGTGGGCGTGGGGTAGTGGGTTTGGTGGGAGATGACAATATGTGGTGTGTGTTGGGGTGGCCGTGGTGGAGTGGGTTTGGTGGGAGATGGCAGTATGTGGGGGGGCCGTGGGGTAGTGGGTTTGGTGGGAAATGGGAGTATGTGGTGTGTGTTGGGGCGGCCGTGGGTTTGGTGAGAGATGGCAGTATGTGGTGTGTGTTGGGGAGGCCGTGGGATAGTGGGTCTGGTGGGCGATGGCAGTATGTGGTGTGTGTTGGGGTGGGTTTGGTGGGAGATGACAGTATGTGGGGTGTGTTGGGGTGGCCGTGGGGTAGTGGGTTTGGTGGGAGATGGCAGTATGTGGGGTGGCCGTGGGGTAGTGGGTTTGGTGGGAAATGGCAGTATGTGGTGTGTGTTGGGGTGGCCGTGGGTTTGGTGGGAGATGGCAGTATGTGGTGTGTGTTGGGATGGCCGTGGGAATGGTAGGAGATAGAAGAATGTGGTGTGTGTTGGGGTGGCCGTGGGTTTGGTGGGAGATGGCAGTATGTGGTGTGTGTTGGGGTAGTGGGTATGGTGGGAGATGGCAGTATGTGGTGTGTGTTGGGGTGGCCGTGGGGTAGTGGGTTTTGTGGGAGATGGCAGTATGTGGTGTGTGTTGGGGTAGCCGTGGGGTGGCGGGTTTGGTGGGAGATGGTGTGTGTTGCGGTGGCTGTGGGGTAGCAGGTTTGGTGGGAGATGGTGTGTGTTGGGGTGACCGTGGCATAATGGGTTTGGTGGGAGATATGGCATGCATCCCAGTAAAATCTCGAAATCTTTCCTCAAAATTGTACACGTCTGGTTGCATTTTAGCTTTCAAAATGATGGAAATTGTAATCCAAAATGTTTCTACTCTCACACATGTACAATCGCATAAAGGGAGTTGATACTAATCTAACCCCCCCCCCCCAACATTTGAATTTGTTTCCCTGTATTTATGTGACTTCACATGTACATACATCATAATTTACAAAAAGTGTAGATGCTTAATTTCAGTTTCATATCTAAACTTCAATATATCGGAGTTGGAAGTACATAGTTATGTACGTATGTGTAACTTTTAAATTAGAACTGGGACAAGTTCCTGGTGCTATCCAGATCAATTATTCCATAGGACATGCATTATATTGGGGGGGTTTTCTGCGAATTTTAAGCCATATATATATAGGCCCATTCTCTTAGATATTTTCTGCTTTTTTTCCCCAAAATCATTGCAAAAACCCATTTATTTTCTATAAATAATGCTTTTTGTGTGTGATATTTCCCCCAAAGTCGCAAGGTACAGGTACAGGCCCCTGTCAAAAAGAGGTAGAACAATCATTGACGGTAATAGCAGTATAAACTGTTGTATATAAGTCATGTTGACGGGAGGTGGGGGACGAGGTTTGAACACAAAGTGAGGTTTGTGATTTCTAGAAAATGGAGTTCATGATAAGAAATATGATTTGAATTTGTAGAAATGTGTGGAGGCCATTCTCGACCTGCTTCGTGTGCAGGGTGCATCCAAGTGCCACATCCTGTGCCTGGAGACACTGCGCCTGTTCAGCCGAGAGAAGGAGAAATTGGCGGGCATGGTCTCTGAGGTGGCCCTAAACCTGATAATGAAGATGGCAGGCCTCCAGCACTACTCCGAGGAGGAGGGAGAATGTGTCACTATACAGAACGGTGACCCTGATGGTAAGAGTCACTGGCTGTGGGGTCACAGGTTAAAGGTCAAAGTGATTTGAAATTTCTTACATTCTGAATTATGTATATATTATATCTTTTATCATTAATGTAAACATATATCACCTATGAAACAGATTTCTTTCTCTATGATATTAAATACTTAATAAAATACTTTTTTTAAAGTGATAATGTACAATTGAGGTATAAATGTCTGAGTTTGAAACGATCACACTGAAATTAAAAGGTACCTTGTGGACAGCTGAAATAAAGGGTAAATGTTTTGCCAACATTTTTAACACATTAGCAGTCTAATACTAGTTGATGAAAACTGAAAACTGGTCCCGTAGCTCTTCCTCATCTTCATCATATTGGATTGTGTAATGAGCATTGTCTCTGATGTTTCTGACACACTACGTATCACACTTTGTTCATTATTTTTTTACGAAATAGAATTACTGAGTATTAAACAATGATTTCTAAATTGAAGTCATGAATACATTTTGATCTTTGATTTTTTTAATTTTCATATTCTCAAGTTAAGAATGTACTCATGGGTAAAAACACCAATTATTTTAATTCTCCCCTTCATCAAAACTGTCAAAATGATGACGTTTAATTTTTTGACAGTGATGGTGGAAGCTCAGAAATGTCTGTGTAACTTAATATTCAACAATGTCCAAGTACAGAGAGTGTGCAGGTAAGTATGACAGGAAACTGTCTGTAACTTAAATCATATATCATAAGACATATCGTTGTTAGTGCTGACTCATCAGGTAGTTGTGACAGGAAACTGTCTGTAACTTAAATCATATATCATAAAACATATCGTTGTAAGTGCTGACTCATCAGGTAAGTGTGACATGAAATTGTCTGTAACTTAAATCATATATCATAAGACATATCGTTGTAAGTGCTGACTCATCAGGTAGTTGTGACAGGAAACTGTCTGTAACTTAAATCATATATCATAAAACATATCGTTGTAAGTGCTGACTCATCAGGTAAGTGTGACATGAAACTGTCTGTAACTTAAATCATATATCATAAGACATATCGTTGTTAGTGCTGACTCATCAGGTAGTTGTGACAGGAAACTGTCTGTAACTTAAATCATATATCATAAAACATATCGTTGTAAGTGCTGACTCATCAGGTAAGTGTGACATGAAACTGTCTGTAACTTAAATCATATATCATAAGACATATCGTTGTTAGTGCTGACTCATCAGGTAAGTGTGACAGGAAACTGTCTGTAACTTAAATCATATATCATAAAACATATCGTTGTTAGTGCTGACTCATCAGGTAAGTGTGACAGGAAACTGTCTGTAACTTAAATCATATATCATAAGACATATCGTTGTTAGTGCTGACTCATCAGGTAAGTGTGACAGGAAACTGTCTGTAACTTAAATCATATATCATAAAACATATCGTTGTTAGTGCTGACTCATCAGGTAAGTGTGACAGGAAACTGTCTGTAACTTAAATCATATATCATAAGACATATCGTTGTTAGTGCTGACTCATCAGGTAAGTGTGACAGGAAACTGTCTGTAACTTAAATCATATATCATAAGACATATCGTTGTTAGTGCTGACTCATCAGGTAAGTGTGACAGGAAACTGTCTGTAACTTAAATCATATATCATAAGACATATCGTTGTTAGTGCTGACTCATCAGGTAAGTGTGACAGGAAACTGTCTGTAACTTAAATCATATATCATAAGACATATCGTTGTTAGTGCTGACTCATCAGGTAAGTGTGACAGGAAACTGTCTGTAACTTAAATCATATATCATAAGACATATCGTTGTTAGTGCTGACTCATCAGGTAAGTGTGACAGGAAACTGTCTGTAACTTAAATCATATATCATAAGACATATCGTTGTTAGTGCTGACTCATCAGGTAAGTGTGACAGGAAACTGTCTGTAACTTAAATCATATATCATAAGACATATCGTTGTTAGTGCTGACTCATCAGGTAAGTGTGACAGGAAACTGTCTGTAACTTAAATCATATATCATAAGACATATCGTTGTTAGTGCTGACTCATCAGGTAAGTGTGACAGGAAACTGTCTGTAACTTAAATCATATATCATAAGACATATCGTTGTTAGTGCTGACTCATCAGGTAAGTGTGACAGGAAACTGTCTGTAACTTAAATCATATATCATAAGACATATCGTTGTTAGTGCTGACTCATCAGGTAAGTGTGACAGGAAACTGTCTGTAACTTAAATCATATATCATAAGACATATCGTTGTTAGTGCTGACTCATCAGGTAAGTGTGACAGGAAACTGTCTGTAACTTAAATCATATATCATAAGACATATCGTTGTTAGTGCTGACTCATCAGGTAAGTGTGACAGGAAACTGTCTGTAACTTAAATCATATATCATAAAACATATCGTTGTTAGTGCTGACTCATCAGGTAAGTGTGACAGGAAACTGTCTGTAACTTAAATCATATATCATAAAACATATCGTTGTTAGTGCTGACTTGGTGTATAACACTGTTACAGAGTATTTATGGTTTTCATGGATAACAGAGTGAATATTAGTACAAAAGATACATGAATAACCCACTCGGTATATATATACCAGCCATCGTGAAATATAGTTTCAACAAAATCGTTTGTAAATGTGTAATCATAGAAAGGATGTAACTGTGATTTACCTAGTGTAACTAGTAACACTAGTTACTTTAATGTTACATAGTGTTTAAGTTAGATTTTAGGGTCAAATTGATATACTGCCCCTCCTCAATTCTGTAACAATATTTTTTTCCTTGTAGTAAAAACGGCTGTGTGGAGGGGATAATACAGAGACTGAAGACGTACAAGGACCCAGATCTCAAGTTTGAAATCAAGGTAACTCACAGATAGTGCTGTCATTCATCTAGGTTCTAAAATATTGTATAATGTGGAATGATTTGTCAGTAAACATCTATACACAGGTTTTAAAACATTGTATAATGTGGAATGGGTTGTCAGTATACATCTATACACAGGTTCTAAAACATTGTATTATGTGGAATGATTTGTCAGCATCCATCTATACACAGGTTTTAAAGCATTGTATAATGTGGAATGGTTTGTCTGTATACATCTATACACAGGTTCTAAAACATTGTATAATGTGGAATGATTTGTCAGCATACATCTATACACAGGTTTTAAAACATTGTATAATGTGGAATGATTTGTCAGTAAACATCTATACACAGGTTTTAAAACATTGTATAATGTGGAATGGTTTGTCAGCATACATCTATACACATGTTCTAAAACATTGTATAATGTGGAATGGTTTGTCAGTAAACATCTATACACAGGTTTTAAAACATTGTATAATGTGGAATGGTTTGTCAGTATACATCTATACACAGGTTTAAAATATTGTATAATGTGCAATGGTTTGTCAGTATACATCTATACACAGGTTTAAAACATTGTATGATGTGGAATATTTTTTCTGCAAAACTTTTGCATGCTTTAGATTTTCTGGTTTTCAGTCATACCAATGTTTTGGGATTGCTTTCAACAAATATTGAATATGGTTAGATCATTCACCCCTGAAGACTCATTTGAACTCTTCCAATTCAAAGGTTAGAATAGTTCATTATGCAATTTCAGGGGTGAATGAGTTAATGAGTGATAACATATTTCATTAAAAATATTAATATACATACTAATGTGAGTGTTTACATTTGTTTTTATTTGTATACAGACAATATTATACCTGTTTGATAGTTCTGCTCCACACCTTAATTGATGAGATACAGATATCAAACAATGATGAATGTTTTATTGTTTGGCAGTTCTTTGATATGAGGATGCTGTTCCTGTTGACTGCCCTGTGTGCTGAAACAAGGTAAACAAGTACCATACAGCTACTGACTTCAGTTGAGGTCAATATTGATATTATCTATTGACCTTATTTTACCCATGATAAGAATAGGAGCCTTTACGACTACATGTAGTCCATAGAAATGTGATTTTTATTGGAGTTTAGAACTGTTATTAGACATACAGTTCAGTACTGTTATAAGATGTATCATGTTTTGGGCTCAGATCCTTGTAATATGCACTTTTTACCTGTTAAATCTCTTGATTTGCTATGGCATTGACATTTATCTGTATTTATACGTACTGATTTTATGAGCTTCATATATATTTATATCTGTCCATAAAATGTGTATTCACAAGTTCGCTCTGTGTTATTCAGACCCCTGATCCGTTACGAGCTACATGGCTTTACCTACCTGATGGAGGTTGTTGATTTAATACTTCGGGATGCAGATGCCCGACAGTCCGGACTTACGGAACAGGAGGTGGACCTCTGCTGCGAAATCCTCAAAATTCTCTTTAACATCACAGTCCCGATTGATAAAAATGCTTTAGATGAGGTAAGGACACCAGGCTGGTGTAAATAGAATAGCTGATATACAAAGAGAACTTACACTCAAACTTAATTATAAACATATTTCCCTGGCACCCTGATAAATACTTTAACAAGAACCACTATAACCCCTGGAAGACTTGTGACGAGTTTACACGGGTGCAATACACCCTGTATGTCACCCATGTACAGAATACTAACTGCATTCTACCGACTCTGCTAGGGAGAATTTCTCTTTAGCTCAGTCCGTAGAGCTTAAGTCCCAGGAGGTCCCAGGTTGAAAAAAAATAGCCTCTGTTGCATTTAGAGAGTAATTAATGTTTTAGCAAATGATTTTGTAGTGTTATAACATAAACAGTAAAATCCGGAAAGGGCCTGTAGTTTCTGCTTTAATGTCTTTATCTTGTCCCCATTAATATGAATGCAGACTAAGGTTCTGGAAATCTTATCATGGCCTTAATTTTCAAAGAGTTTAAAATTGATTTTGTGTATCCTGATGACACATTGGATTATCAACATCTTCCCGAGAATATGATAAGTGTACTGTTGTTAGGTCTGTGGACCAAGGTCAAAGGTTAAATAAATAACTGCTGTATTTTCAGTTTAAGTTTGTATTTTATTCGTACGCTGTATGATGATATTTAAAGTGAATTGTCTAACAACGTCCCCAACAGAATTTATGCTGTGTATCATAATTATGAAACTCCTCAAGGTTAAGTTGGTGTTTAATTTTAATTTTTTAATTAAGAAATACATTTTGTATTAAGTAAACCAAATCATCTACAGAATGTGAGCAGTACTCGCTAATTAACCCGCTAATTAGCACTGTGACCTTCTCCTCAAGGTCAGTTAAATTGTTCAGTGAAAGCCTATCAGGGCCTTAGTTTTAAGCTGTTATACATGTAGATGTGTTAATGCATTGTGTACCAGTTTGTAGAGGCTGATGTTGTGATCACTGTGTTGTTTCCTTGTAGGAGGAGGAGGCCCACTTCATGCGCCTGGTCAGTGTGCTCCGGGATCTTCTGATGAGTAAAACACAGAGCAAGGACCGCCAGGAGGAACTACAAAGGTAGCCACACTATCTGGGCATGATTAATCTGATGTCAAGTCAGTCAGAGCTGTTAAAAACATTTCTTGAAAATAATGGAGACTCTTGATCAGTCCGTGATAGCTTTAATATTCGACCAGCAATTTACTGGTATTTTAAGAATGCTTCTGGATTTGACTTAATTACTGTAAGTGCATGTGATAAAGAAAAGTTAAAAATCTAAATGAATGTATTTCTAAGACATTAGGTCAAACAGTACCTGTGTTAAAGACATAATATCTCCATAATTACTAATTTAGAAGGATTTAAAAGGACTTGCTGTATTCAACCTAAACAGTAAATCTTCTCCCAGAGATTCATCAGCTCATTAAGTACCTAGGGCATCAGGGGATGTTAACGTGTCATCTGTCCATCCTCCATCTACTTTTTCTGTAAATGGCTTCCCTCACGGAAGTTTGTTTTATTTGAATGTCCTTATTAACCAATTTTCATAGTCAAATGTGTTTAAAACAAAAAGAACAAAAGATCTGGGGTAAACACAGATGAATGATAAGTGTTTTAAAAACTTAATGGATGTTCTTATAAAGATGTCTGGGCTGTAATGTCCTTCCTGTACTTGTATGTAGTCGTTGTTTATCTGACCAGAGATTCTGTACTAGTGAATCTCTGTAACAGCAGATATCTTTTATCCAAGTCCTTGTTATTCCTTGTGATATGACAACATATCAAAACACATCACAACATATCAAAACACATCACAACATATCAAAATGCTCTGTCATATTGTTATCTCTAAATCTGCCTAAATATATAACAAAAATGGGAGTCTTGTGATATGTGGTGTAAAACCAAACCATCACATTGATCCAAAGTAAACACTAGAATTGAGATTAATAAAATCTTAAACCTGTAACTGAGCGAGATCGGGTTATCTCAGTCGAGGGTTGGGATTCTGTAACAAAATCCAAACCGAGGCGTAAGCCAAGGTTGGGATGTTACAGAATCTCAGCCCGAGACTAAGATAACCCGATCTTGCTCAGTTACAGGTAATTGATTTTTTTTCCTCACACCTTTTAGTTCGAAAAGAACTACTAAGTATTCAATTTTGCTGGAAACTACAAGTATCCCGCCTTGGGGCTCAAATGATAATGACCTCTTCACTACTAAAGCTACATTTGAATGCTTCCGCGTAAAAATGTAGTCCGTCCTAACATAGATTACAACGTATTTCACAGTGTAGATTATATTTTATCTACAACATCAAATATCTAACAACATCAAAACTATACTTATAACGACAAAACAGAACATTTATAATGCAAATTGTCAATTTCAAGCAGTTAACATGCGGATGAATACATCGCAGTGTAAAATTCCGCGAAATGTCACGTAAAGGTACAAGACGGATCGGACGAGATGGAAAAATCTAGCATAGGGTATGACGTGGGATATCTCTGTCTTAGGTGCGAGAAATAAATATCTATGTTATTGTTTCAGTCACACAGTAAACCTACTGACGAACATCCCACGGGACTGTTACGAGGAGCTGCTTATTCCCCTCAACGAGATCGATGTTGGAGGCATGGAGAATAAAGATGTCGAGTTTGATGGAAAAAATATGGAAGCTATCATAGTTCTGCTCGACTTCCTGTACAATAGGATAGACGTGGTAATAATACTTCATGTCAGAGATTTGTCTCTGTAAAGTAGAAATGTCTACACAACAGTGATGAAGGGTTCATATCAGTAACACTCTAGTTTACAAGACACAGATTTATATCAGCTGAATGTCGGTAAATAACCAGGACTAGAACGACAATAACCCGAATACAGTACACGTATATAACGGTTTGTAATTATGACAGATTCTTCAAACCTTTCTTTTGCCTAATGCATGTATATAAAGACACTTAATATTTTATACCATTATTTCTTTTTGTTTAATTTCTAGCCAATGAAGTCACTGAAGGAAAGTCTAACTCCCATCCTCCACTGCCTGTGTGAGACATGTCGGGCTAACAGGGCCATCCGCAAGTTCTGTCGCTCCAAGGTAAGCAGGGCTTACAGGGCCATCCGCAAGTTCTGTCGCTCCAAGGTAAGTAGGGTGTACAAGGCTATCCGGAAGTTCTGTCGCTCCAAGGTAAGTAGGGCTAACAGGGCCATCCGCAAGTTCTGTCGCTGCAAGGTAAGTAGGGCGTACAGGGCCATCCGCAAGTTCTGTCGCTCCAAGGTAAGCAGGGCTGACAGGGCCATCCGCAAGTTCTGTCGCTCCAAGGTAAGCAGGGCTGACAGGGCCATCCGCAAGTTCTGTCGCTCCAAGGTAAGCAGGGCTGACAGGGCCATCCGCAAGTTCTGTCGCTCCAAGGTAAGTAGGGCGAACAGGGCCATCCGCAAGTTCTGTCGCTTCAAGGTAATTAGGTTAAAGTCATCCACCAATTCTAATGTGCCAAGATAAAAAGGTTTGACAGTCAGCCACAAGTTCTGTCACTGCCTGATAAGTAGGGCTAACAGAGCAGAAGATGGCGGTGTTTTAATTATGTGCTTAATACTTCTTTTGAAATTGATTTTTTTGTTTGGTGGAATTGAGTTTTTGTGCAAGTTCTTTGGTTTCTATTGTCAGATCACATGTATAATATTGTCCGACTAAACATATTGGATACCAACACATAAATAATATCTGTTTTTAGGTCACCTGAGCTTTGCTCAAGTGACCTATTCTAATCGCTTTTCGTCCGTCGTCGTCCGTCGTCCGTCGTGCGTAAACTTGTTTGAGTAATTTTCTGCTGAAAATGGATAAAATATATACCGAAAAGTGTTATTTCCCTATATAAACTATATCAAACTTTACCCCCTCCGCAAGGGAGAACGAATAGCTCGGTGGTCCTGAAATTTACAATTTAAATAAAGTCCCTGATGATTTTCTTTCCATGCAGAGAAAATCACTGTAGTACCTGTGAGTCTGGAGAAGAAGATTTTTGAAATATTGGTTAATTTTCCCTTTGGGGCCCCGCCCTGGCCCCAGGGGTTGGGGTAGGATTCTCAATTTTTCAATTTGAAACCATCTTCCTCCAAGGATAATTCTCACCAAGTAAAAATAATTTCCTACAGAAAGTTGTCAAAATATACTCAAAAGTGTTATTTCCCTATATAAACTATAGTAAACTTTACCCCCTCCCCAAGGGAGAACGGATAGCTCGGGGGTCCTGAAATTTACGATTTAAGTAAAGCCCCTGATGATCTTTCTTTCCACGTAGAGAAAATCACTGTAGTACCTCTTGTTAATATTGGTATGTACAAAATAATAAATATGTAGTGTGCCATACATTGTCACAGTTAGCATTATTTTACTATTTCTTCTTAATTTAAGGTATTGCCACCATTGAAGGATGAGGTGAAGAAATTACCAGAAGATGGGGATACACTTAGAAACAGGTGAGTTGTCTCCCCTCCCTCATAATTAAACTATAGCTGCTCTAGCTTTTCGAGGTCCAAGCTGTTCGACCAGTTGGACCAGAGTTATTTGTTTAAACAAGGACCTAGTAGGCTGATTTTGGCGTCTAGTGAGCCTTGGAAATGACTTTCAGGGTCTGCTTTAACACGTACAGGTCTTTCAGGCTTTACCTCATGAAATGGTAAATGTTTGGTTCCAGAAATGTTTTACAAAAGATTTGTGCCTGTTTTTCTCCTGCAAAATACCTGTGAATGTGTCGCATATTACTGTCATCAGCTCGAAGTTCTGATACCAGTCCTGACATTAAACGGAATGCTAAAATTAAAGCAGCATATTAGATGTATACATAATCATGTATCTACTACCAAAACAGGTGATACAACATTACAGAAATGTAGGACATATCATGTTGATGATTAAACTAGTTGGCATTTTCACAATATCCAGGGTAGAACTGTACACACAGGGCCACAGGGGTAATTTGTGAGGTGGCATTAGTCTGATAGAAGGACATCATCACGTCACACACAAACACAATGAACAGGATAAATTCAAACATGAAGGGGATGTTTTGTTGATTTAGCTCCGTGTAATGTAAATTACTCTGTGCTGCTACAGTATTTAGTTCTTTGGTGTCAGTTTGGTTGCAGACATGTGGAGTGGTAAACAAAGTCACATCTTTCCTTGACAAGTCAATGTGTTGGCATTATTTATACCAGGTAATCTAGACTGCATTTCAGAATTGTGTGTCAGATTGTTGTTTGTTTTCTGTAGACTTTGTAAGCTGCTAACCTCGCCCATCGCAGACGTTAAAGACCTGGCTGCTGATTTCCTGTTCGTTTTGTGTAAAGAGAGCGGTAAGGATACATTTGATGCTTATCAGTACAGAATTGTTGAACATAGAACATAACCATACATTTTATGCTTACCAGTACAGAATTGTTGAACATAGAACATAACTATACATTTTATGCTTACCAGTACAGAATTGTTAAAATAAAACATAACCATACAGTATTGGATTAACAATGTCCCCTATTGATAAATGGCATTTGCTGAAGAATAATTTAACAGATTTAAGCGGTCCATTTATAGAAACATATAAAATCATGTTAATGAATTAATTTTGTTTCACTGTGTTTTCATTTGTGTATTTGATTAGTTTATTTTGAATAATACAGAAATGGTTCAGTTGTTTAGATTCTAATTCACATAACAAATGTTCAAAATTTTCAAAATCAAATTATAGAGAAACGTGAAAATATATATTTATATAAATTTGCATTCCTGCATGTGGGTAATCATTTTAAATCTCTAAACCTACAATTTTAGTTTTACTGCTAATATTATTTAACATGTACTAGATGAGAGGGTTTGAAGATTTTTGCCATGATATCAGTTATTCAGACCCATGGATTGCTTGTTCTGTGCTGATAAGGAAGATCATGTATAGCATAATATTTCTTGCATGTTTTGATACAACAGTAAAAAGTTGATGTAACTATTGTATCTAAGTAATAAATGCCTTATTACTGCCTACACAGTCAACAGAATGGTCAAGTACACAGGGTACGGGAACAGTGCTGGCCTCCTAGCCAACAGGGGTCTCCTGCTCGGAGGCAAGTCAGGGGGAGACTACTCCAGTAACTCAGACGACTCAGACACAGAAGAGTATAGTCAATTAAGAAACATGTAAGTTCGCAATAGCCAATATTGACTTAGATACAGTGAAACCTGAATATAATGCCCTCATTTCATTTACTTATTACACCAGCAACAAATGTCAAGTGTCCTTTTTTCCTGTGTTCTTAATAATTCCTTTGTACATTCCCCATCAATCTATCGCCAGACCCTTATATAATGTCTCTGGACAAATGGTGGCATTCTAAAGAGGTTTTACTGTAGATTGCCTAAAAACAAAATTCTAGTACAGTGTTATTAATCTTACCAGACTCCATTAAAATCTGAAAACCTGTTGACAACAGACAACACTATAGGTCTCAATGTATGTAGTCAATCTGAATAACTTTTACTCTAAAGGAGAATATTGCTCAATGTGAGGCTACACAACTCAAATTGCACTGAAATTTACATGGAAACAAGTTGTTCATTTGTAAATGACCAAGAGGTCTTAGATATTTCATTTCTCCTGATAAGGTGGTGTATGTTCAAGTTCTAATTTGATTCTTTCATCTAAACAAGAGGCCCATGGGCCTTAACGGTCACCTTCGTTATGTAAAAACTGATGTTATCGATGTTGCCAAATGAAAAAGAAATCATTTTGTAACAACGGTAACTTAACTACATGTAATGCAAAAGTAGTGTGGAAGATCTGGGTAGTATATGTACTATGTACAAATAGTGGTTCTGTCAGTCAGCTGAATTATGGTAAAGCACCTTAAGACCCTTCCATTTATGAAGAGTATTTGATTCTACCATATCTGGATATTGAGAAGATCTTTGAAATTTTAGTTAATTTGACCCTTTTTTGGCCCTGCCCCTCAGGCTCCTGGGGGCTGGGGACCATATAATTCACAATTAAACTATAGTAAAGTTTACCCCCTCCCCAGGGGGAAATGTGAGACCCAAGGGTCATGAAATTCACAATTTTGGTAAAGCACCTTAAGACCATTCCATCTATGAAGAGTATTTGATTCTACCATATCTTGGTCTTGAGAAGAAGATTTTTGAAATTTCAGTCAATTCAACCCTTTCTGGCCCCACCCATCAGCCCCTGGGGGTCAGTCAGGGCGGATATGTGCATACCATTAAACGGCTATCCAATACTGATAATGCTAACCAAGTTTGAATTAATTCCGCTGGAAATCAAACAAATGTTGGTCCAAAATGTAATTTCCCTATATAAACTATAGTAAAGTTTATCCCCTCCCCAGGGACCCCTGGGTCATGAAATTCACAATTTTGGTAAAGCACCTTAAGACCCTTCCATCTATGAAGAGTATTCGAACTTACCATATCTGGATCTTGAGAAACAGATTTTTGAAATTTTAGTCAATTTGACCCTTTCTGGCCCCGCCCCTCAGGCCCCGGGAGGCTGGGGACCATATAATTCACAATTTTGGTTGACCTATGGCCATGGAAGGTTTCTGCAAAATTTCATTGAAATTGGTTCAGGGGTTTTGGAGAAGAAGTCGAAAATGTAAATTGTTTACGGACGCACGACACAAGACGCCGGACAAAAGGCGATAGCAATAGGTCACTTGAGACTTTGTCTCGGGTGACCTAAAAACAGGCTACATGACCATTGTCAATTTGATGGATGAAAATGTACAAAATATGTTCTTTTTAATTGTCATTGTAAAATTTGTAGGGTGAATCCTGTGACAGGGAGATGGGAGGAGGACAAGCCGGATCCTTTTGAGGGGATGAGTGAGGAGCAGAAGGAGTTTGAAGCCATGAAACTAGTCAACATGATGCACAAACTCCAGTGGTGCGTACCCCTATGGTCTTTAACCCTTTCAACCCTATATAACTTTAGTAGACTCTACCAAGCATTGATCTGGATGAGTCCATTATGGTCTACAGTGGTGAAAGGGTTAATACCCAATTTCATTACACTGAGGCTCCACTTCCAGTGTACTCAAGTCTGTTCCACACTGTTATAGGAGGTTCCCCAACCAAACCTTGTATATCCATGTCTAAAACACACGAGAGATCTCTAAAAGGTGTCGGTCGTTATCTTGCTAATCTAACTTGAGTTAGTTTTATTTTCAATTTTTTTAGCATATTTTGAAATGATGAATTATGATGTCACAATCTTAGGTCACAGTACCGGTAGGATGTAGTCTGCTTACATTTAAGTTACTCTCTTGTGCTGGTTTTTGTTATAACATTGCCATCTTAACATGTATTAAGCCATAAGATTATTCTATATTTTATGCAAAAATTAGAAGAATTTCTTGGTGAATAAGTTGGAATAAAGAAAGTGGATTTTTTATTTAAATTCCAGAAAAATGTACAATGGCAGGCAATTGATTGCTTGTTTTCAGATTTATTTCTCTGACGTATCTTACCTTTCAAAGCTAAGACACCATGCATGTATAATAGGAAAGGTTGATATGAAATTCTACAAAAATCTTAATCTCTCCTACCTACAGCCAAGGGATCATACAGCCGAGTCGTGTTGACGAGTCTGGCCATCCTCAGCCAGTGCAACACGTCCTGGAACTGATGGAAAACATGACAAACCCCAGCGGAGCAACCGGGGACCAGGAGGACCTGGACTAGGGGGCGTTTGGAGAGAGTGGCCCAAAATGGGCTGTTTTATCACCTGTTCCGTATAGGACAGATGTATGGTATATTTCCACATATACCTAGGTCTCAATCTTGCCAATTTTGGTGCATGTTGGGTTTAAAGCTCGAGTTTAGAACCTGATAAAGTATTTGCGCCGTAATTCATGGCAAGCAAAGTATTGTCTTGAGTTTTAACTACGCAGGTTGGCAAATTGACAGTGTCTATAGACGTGTTGCTTATGAACAAACCTACAATAGCTGTAGACTTGTGTAAGAAGCATTAAATAGTCTACATTGTGTTGTCTTTAGATCTGAAAAGCAGCCTATTGCATAAGGATCTGGTATACTTATCACTTCACCAACATCTTGAATTTGCAAACCATTTATATTAAAAAAAATATTTTCTGCTAAACAAAATTCCTGAATTAATATCGCTTAGCTGTGATAAAATATCAAAGAGGTTAGACATCTGTTCCTCCAGGTAGGAGGTAGTCTGGTTCTGAAAATGTTAAACAGTTAATTGCAAAGAATTAATTGGGTTATATATTTCAATGTTGAAATATTGCAAAAAAAATAAAAGAGTGAGTTATATATTTCAATGGTTAACAACTATTGTTGATGATCAGCAAATAGTCAACAGAAACACGTCTGTAATTTAGATGCAATTTTTTTCATTAAATTTCCTAAAAAAAAATCCAACCCCCCCCCCAAATAATTCCTAATAGTATGACAACAACATGTAATTTTTCAATATATACTCAACTGTATCGTTTTCATTTTAGTCATTTTGATACATTTTGGGACAATTCTGCTAAATTGGAGGGTGCATATTTCTAAAGTAAACAACAACAGAAAATGAAAATCAATTTTATAGTATCTACATATAAAACCGTTTTATTGTAAATATACAAACAACTTTAAAGATGATCAAGTCAAGGCCATATAAGAAATGAAGGTCAGAGTGGATCAAAAGGTCAAGGTAGCATGTAGTTGAAAAGGTCAAGGCAACATCTATGTATTTTTATGGAAGGATGAGATAAAGTGAGTTTTGAAGTAACCTGAGGAATACTGCATGAGATGGATGGAAGTAGTAATGATTTACACCCCTCAGCCCCACAGTTGCTCTGTTTATGTCACAGAGGGGCTACCTGTTGCAGGTATTTGTCACAAAGTATTTTTGATAAAGAAGTTTATGAAACTGACCATTAATATCTTATGGCCATTATATTTTGAAGAACAGTTTTGAGGTTGAGGGAAATGTTGACTTCTTGTTCTATATAAGGTCATCTTTCTTCACACAGAGTGTGATAAGATGTCAAGAATTTGTAGAAAATTTAATGGTCAAGTCTTCAAATATTTTTTTCAATGTATGAGATTAAATTTCTTCTTACTAATCAATATTCTAGTAATATTTGATACTGTGAAATTAGACCTCATGGAAGAGAATTCAAAGATAAATACCTAAACACCGGGTAAACACTCCCAAAAGGAACCTTTCTGGACAAGAAAAAAAGAATGAAAGTTTTGATATTAAGTTCCAAGGTATAAAATTGGAATAATCAAATTTGGTCCATTGACTATGTAGGTCAATAAGATGTCTTAACAACCAAACAGACTATTTCTGTACTTCTGTAGGTATCAGTGTTACGGACCGAAGGCCTCTGTAAAGGCCAGGAACCTTACAAGTACAAGGTTTGTTAGCAGGCAAGGAAAATTAAAGTACAGGGATATAGGTTGTGTTTAGGCCAGGAACGGACCAGTACAGGGATATAGCTTGTGTGTAGGCCATCAACAGTACAGTACAGGGGTATAGCTGGTGTGTAGGCGAGGAACAGAACAGTACAGGGGTATAGCTTGTGTGTAGGCCAGGAACAGAACAGTACAGGAATAAAGCTTGTGTGTAGGCCAGGAACAGAACAGTACAGGGGTATAGCTTCTTTGTAGGCCAGGCATAGTGCAGTACAGGGATATAGCTTGTTTGTTTAAACATATTTTATTGCTTCTAAATTCAAGCAAGAGGATTGGGCACAAGTTATGAAACTTATAAAAGCCCTCTCCTAGATATAGCTTGTGTGTAGGCCAGGAACAGATCAGTACAGGGGTATAGCTTGTGTGAAGGCCAGGAACAGAACAGTACAGGGGTATAGCTTGTGTGTAGGCCAGGCACAGAACAGTACAGGGATATAGCTTGTGTGTAGGCCAGGCACAGAACAGTACAGAGGTAAAGCTTGTCCGTAGGCCAGGCACAGAACAGTACAGGGGTATAGCTTGTGTGTAGACCAGGAACAGAACAGTAGAAGGGTATAGCTTGTGTTTAGGCCAGGAACAGAACAGTACAGGGATATAGCTTGTGTTTAGGCCAGGAACAGAAAAGTACAAGGGTAAACCTTGTGTGTAGGCAATGAACAGAACAGTATGGGGATATAGCTTGTGTGTAGGCCAGACACAGAACAGTACAGCGGTATAGCTTGTGTTTAGGCCAGGAACAGAACAGTACAGGGGTATAGCTTGTGTGTAGGCCAGGAACAGAACAGTACAGGGATATAGCTTGTGTGTAGGCCAGGAACAGTACAGTACAGGGGTATAGCTTGTGTGTAGAACAGTACAGAGAGATGGCTTGTTTATATTAACTAAGAAAGGTATTTTGTAAAAGAACCATATTCATATGAAGATAATCCAAAAAATAATTGGCAATTTCAAGTTCCAAACCCAGTATTTATGTAGTTATTTTAGCTATTGTTAATGAAAATGTTACCCTTCCAAGCCCTTCTCCAAATAAAACTGGTTAAAAGATTTGATTTTTTTTGTTTTCAATTTAGCTAGTTATAAATATAATTGTGCAAAATCCCATGAATGTGTATATTATTTGATAGCTAGAGATATCCTTGCTAGCTCATGTTGCAATGTGCGGCTTAGTTATGATATTGTAGTCTGGGTGAAAGTCAGTGTGATGAGGTGTCAGATAACAGAGGTATGGAAGAGCAAGAAGGATGATGTCAGATTACACAAGTCCTATATAATTTGTATATAGAGTTGATGTTACTACAAATAATCCTACCAAGTCATTGTCTCGTAACAAACTGTACTATACTGGTTTGTAAATATAGGTCAGCTCATTTCACTTAACATTTTGACTACGGACTTGTATGGTTACTAGTTACTGATATTGTTGTAAACTGTTGCTAAGACTGCAGACTGTTGCTATGACTACAGGCTTGTTTTTATGACTACACACTGATGCTATGACTACACACTGTTGCTATGACTACAGACTGATTTTATGACTACAGACTGTTGCTATGACTAGACTGTTAATATGACTACCGACTGTTAATATGACTACAGACTGTTACTATGACTACAGACTGATGCTATGACTAGACTGTTAATATGACTACAGACTGATGCTATGACTACAGACTGTTGCTATGACTACAGACTGATGCTAGGACTACAGACTGTTGCTACGACTAAAGACTGTTGATATGACTACAGACTGTTGCTAGGACTACAGACTGTTGCTAGGACTAAAGACTGTTGATATGACTACAGACTGTTGCTAGGACTACAGACTGTTGCTATGACTACAGACTGTTGCTATGACTAGACTGTTACTATGACTAGACTATTACTATGACTACAGACTGTTGATATGACTACAGGCTGTTAATATGCCTACCGACTGTTGATATGACTACAGGCTGTTGATATGACTACAGACTGTTGATATGACTACAGACTGTTGATATGACTACAGACTGTTGAAATGACTACAGACTGTTAATATGCCTACAGACTGTTGATATGACTACAGACTGTTGATATGACAACAGACTGTTGATAGGACTACAGACTGTTGATATGACTACCGGCTGTTGATATGACTACAGACTGTTGATATGAGTACAGACTGTTGCTATGACTACAGACTGTTGATGTGACTACACACTGATGCTATGACTACAGACGTGTGATTACACTGATGCTATGACTACAGACTGTTGATATGACTACAGGCTGTTGATATGACTACAGACTGTTGCTATGACTACAGACTGTTGCTATGACTACAGACTGTTGATATGACTACAGGCTGTTGCTATGACTACAGACTGTTGATATGACTACAGACTGTTGATATGACTACATGCTGTTGATATGACTACAGACTGTTGCTACGACTACAGGCTGTTGCTATGACTACAGACTGTTGCTATGACTAGACTGTTTATATGAGTACAGGCTGTTGCTATGACTACAGACTGTTGCTATGACTACAGACTGTTGCTATGACTACAGGCTGTTGCTATGACTAGACTGTTTATATGATTACAGGCTGTTGATATGACTACAGGCTGTTGCTATTATGACTACAGACTGTTGATATGATTACAAACTTGTGATTACGCACTTATGCTATGACAAGACTAATTTTGACTTTAAATTACTTCAACTACATACTGTTGCTTTAAAAAAGCAATTATTTTCACTAAGACCACTAATCCAGATGTTGATTTTAATTTATATTGTATATATGATGACATGCGGAAATTCGTAAAATAACATATTGCATACAAAAACCTTCTGTGAAGTAGAGACAATTATATGGCATTAGGTCCCACTTTAACACTACAGTTGTCAGTTGTCTAACAGAACAGAATCTGTGAAATTGTCGCTGGTAAATGTAACACTAGATTATCACTACATAAACATTATTACCAGTTATTTTGACAGCTTTCAGTTCTAATGGTCAAAATTTCACCTTACTTTCAAAGCGTTTGTTTTGGAAATTCAAACCTGGACAAAATTCTAGGTGTTTTCCTAGTATAAGATTTCTATTCTATTACCTTTTACTTGCTTACTTTGAATGTGTTTTAAATTTATTTGATTTTCGAATAGAAGAAGTGTGAGAGAAATATTCAGAATTGCTATAGCAGTTAGTTTGAGTATTTCATGTCATGATTTTCATGAAAGACCAGTTTACAAATTATGATATCGGCTGATCACATGTGGCAGTGCTAAACTTCATTATTTGGTTCTGGTGAGAATGTCTCAAAATCACATTTAAGAAACGAAGTCTGTCATATTTCTACATGGGGGGTTGAGAAGGGCTTAACTTTAAATCAGTATTGTTATGTATGTCAGTGAATTCTGTGGTAGTTTATAAAATCTGTTCTTTATGTCCTGGGTGTGCAAGATGTAAATGTAGAGTGGTGAAAAGGACCAATTGAATCTCGTGTGACATATTGATATTTCAATTTATTCTAGGGATTCACTGATGGATTTAGATACATGGTGGTTTTTTAGGTCACCTGAGACAAAGTCTCAAGTGACCTATTGCTATCGCCTTTTGTCCGTCGTCGTCCGTCGTGCGTCCGTAAACAATTTACATTTTCGACTTCTTCTCCAAAACCCCTGAACCAATTTCAATGAAATTTTGCAGGGACCTTCCATGGACAAAGGTCAACAAAAAT